TCGTAGTCGGCATCATCAGTGAGCTTTGCCATTCTCCGCACCAAGCAACGAACTCGTCAAAGAGACAAGTAGATAGATAGGCCAGGACAGAAAGATGAGTGATAGTGTAACTGTTTTTGGCAGAACGTTTGTCGAGGGATTGACTTCACTTGTCTCTTTGACGAGTTCGTAGCTTGGTGCGTCGAATGGCAAAACTCATTGATGATGCCGACTACGATGTCGGCGAAACATTTGGGAATGTACCACGTCCACTGTTGGATGCTGGTAATTATGACAACTACTATGGCAGACGACTTCGAACTAGGTGTGTTCTACTAAGTCGCCATGACAACAAGACGAGGTTGCGACAACGAGGTCAACCCACTTCTATTACATGCACTAGTTTATTTGTGTAAGTAAACAGCTGCCACCGAACACACTTCCAGGTCGGGAAGTAACTTCACGCATTTGCAGGCATGTAGAGTAAGATTGAAGTAGCCTCATTAAGATCGCGATGTTAGGTTTATGGAAATGAGACTATAGTTGCAGCCGGCAACCTTTTTCTCTTGGTTCAGTATATTTTTGCTCTATTTTGTATAGTTTGGAATCTTACTCTGATGATGTCTGCGTCATCATACAGACGAAAGCTTAACACAGTTTCATCGCTGAGCCGAGGACTTCTCCGCACAATTCAACAGTCTTCATTAAGCGACAAGCATCCTTCGGTTTTCGAGGAGATCACATCACTAATTCCTTCCAACCAACTTTTCCTTCGAAATGGGAAGTCATGTCACAATCTATCAGTTAAGAATTTTTCGACAGCCACTTTTTCTTCATAAAACAAGGTCGAACCAACATTATAAAGCTAAAGGAGGCTGCGACCAAGTAGATGGCCACACCATCTTGGTCTTCATATCTACAGCACTATTTGTTTTTTAATCTGTAATTAGGCTTTCCATGACTACCAGTAGAGCTTATAAGAGTGATTTTTACCCTATTCCGCTTAAGGTGATGCTAGTGTAAGCATTAAACTATCCCTCCATCATCACCTTATGCAACCTATGCCAAATACAGTCCCTATTCAAGATCTACTGGCAATTTGGTAATCTACCCAACCCGAATACTACTCAAATTTGCTTTCAACGTTTAGCCTCGAAATTTCACAAGCAAATCGACGATATTCACTTTACACCCGGTCCGTTTACGACCTTGGAGCGGTAAACATTTTTAACCCTTTCCCTTTGCTATATATACATATATATATACACACACACACATATATATATATATATGCATGATATGTATAATTTTTGACGTCTGTTGGGCGAACTTCCTGCGCCCCGGCCTCTAAATGGCTGTCTCTCATCCGACCAATCAAATCTGGCCTTCCGCTAATTACCTTTTCCCATTACCCACCGGATTGCTGTCTTCGCCAGACATGAGACAGGGCGAGGCCTCGTGCCCAACCGGCCGCATGTCAACACATGTCAGGATAGCCCACAGCTTATTTGCACACATGCCCGGGCTGACCAACTGTACGACAGAGCTCTTGTATAGGCGGTAATCAGGGCCGGGTTGCCCACCCAACCTGTCCCTGAGTGCCTCAGCCTCCCAAACACTGGATTCGACCGAGGATGTATAAAATGCAGGCTTCACTGCTCAGCCAGTCTGTGCTCACGCTCTCCTCGTCACCGACAGTCTGGCCAAACGCTCGATCACTTCACTCTATCGGTTATTATCCTACCATACACACACACACATACACACAGGGAAACACACACGCACACATAAATTCACACAAAGAATAAAAACCGGCAGGCCCAAATCACTCAGCTCAAATGGAGGGGCCAAGGCGAAGCTCATGATTGAAGAGTGAAGTGTGTCCTGCAGAGGTAGCATCACGCGAACCATTACCTTCCAGCCCTGAGCACAGGGCGCCCGGAGCCTTGGCAACATGCACGGCCTTCTAATCGAGGGCCTTCGCTACTACATCGTCAACACTTGGTCCGAAAAGACTTGGGATGAGGTGAGGCTACTGGCCAATCAACCGATTAGTCGGTTCGATTCTCACGAGGTTTACGGCGAGACTGTGATTCCTGACCTCTTGAACGCATGCGTACAACTCGTCAAAATGGATCCCGATGAGTTGGCCGCT